TAACGGGAGTGAGGTGAACTATCAGTGACCAATTCCCTATATGTACTAAGTATCTAGTGTTGTAGCATGTGAAGGGAGGAACGCAGTTGAATCACAGTGTACTTATAAAAAAGTACTATATACACTGGCCCACCTGCTTTTGGAATCCTTTTTGATATTCATGCCACCTTTCACGCCACTTATATAGGTACTAGACAATCAACTAGTTGTTTTAGCCAAATGAATTCTATACCACTTGAGTGTTTTAAATATATAATAATTTTACAGCTAGCTGTTTACTTAAGTACCTACATAGGTAGTTAATAGTTGAGTTATGCAGAGGGTACTTACACAGTAGGTAATTATAAACCTCCAACTGCAGTTGGTACCTAACAGATCTGCATGCTGTAGGTGGAGTGTGGAGTAGGTACGTACTTGGAGGTAGCTATCCCTACCCCTGTTTCGCAATGCGAGCTACATAGACTGACATACATTCACAACCATTCCCGAAGCACCTAACCAAGTTCAAAGTCTACGACAGTCAATCAGCAAGTCATACAACACCGCTGAAATCCCGCCTTCGCATCGTGTATCCTTCCAACCGTTGCGAAACACGAACTCGCCTACAACACGCCAATACCATCGGGTCCTGATTACTATAGACACTACGACCACCCGGATGCGATAGAGCATGCGCCGGCTGACCACGACATCCTGAGTCCCCCGGATGCATCGTCAACGTGGCCATGTCCAACAGGTTTGGCGGGTCGTACCGCAACGGCGCATACGGCCGTCAAGATGATGACTATAACGGTCCTCCTGCGCCGCCGCAGCCGAGCTCCCGGCGCTCGCCATTCGACTCTGGCCGCATGCCCTCGTCAGGCCCCTCATCACGACGTCCACGCGGAGACGAAACCAATGCCGAGCGACAGATCACCAAGGTACTCGAGCACATCAAGACCGAGTGGCCGTCCATGACTCAGAACGACTGCATACCGGTTTCCCTGGCCCTGCAGTTGCTTGACAACAGCTCCGTCGGCCGCGCCCACGAGTATGACAACTTCAAGAAGACGCACCAGTACCTGCAAGATTCGCTCAAGGGCATTGTCCATGAACATCACCAGGGCTTCAATAGTTCTATCGGCACCTTCCATAAGATCCAGGGTAGCATCCAGGCCTCGCAGAAGCGCGTGCGCGCGCTCAAGGAGTCCCTAGCCGCTTCCAAGAATAGCCTGTGCACCTCAGACCCCGACCTCAAGAAGCTATACAAGTCGTCACAGATGTATGACGAGGTCCTACAGACTTTGGGTGAGCTCGAGGACCTGAGGACTGTGCCCGACCAGCTTGAGGCACGAATCTCCGAGAAGCGCTTTTTGACCGCCGTTGAGGTCTTGCAGAATGCCCTACGCAAGCTACGGAAGCCCGAGCTTGACGACATCGGCGCTTTGTCCGACCTCCGGAGCTATCTGGCAAACCAGGAGACGGCCTTGATGGACATCTTAGTGGAAGAATTGCACGAACACCTTTACCTAAAATCGCCTTATTGCCAGGAACGTTGGCAGAGCTTAGCCAAGAACCAGGGCGCATATAATCAGAATTACGGTGACTCGGCTGCCATCACCCCTTTCCATGTCGTACTTGATACCCTAGAGCTAGAACACCCTGTCACCGAAGATCCTTCAAAGAATCCGGAAGCCGATACGTCCTGGTACATTGCCCTACTCGCCGAGTCCCTTAACAAGCTCGGGAGGTTAGAAGGCGCCGTGGAAACGCTAAGCCAGCGACTTCCCGTCGAGCTCTTCTCTGTAGTGAATGAGACCATCAATGATGTCGATCAAAGACATCCTAGCTCCCTTCGCGGAGGATCCAGCAACAATCAAGGGCTTCATATCTATAGCAACAGGGAAACTCAGATGCGGGCCGACGTCATCTATGATCTTTTATGGACGTTATACGGGAAATTCGAAGCCATCGCGGAAGGGCACCGCGTGTTCCATGAGGCCGTCAAAGCCCTTGCCCGGCGGGAAGGCGCCGGGAACAGTCCACAGCTCCTTGGAGGTTTTAGGGAACTATGGAACCTTTATCAAAATGAAATACGTTCACTTCTTCACAACTACGTAACTACGGATGCAGACATTTATCAATCTGTTTCATCCTTAAAGAATGGTGCACCTTTGAATGGGAATAACGATACGCAGAGGGAAAGCCTGTTCAAGTTCTCGGAAGCAGACCAAAAATCCGTCGAAATGACAGCCGAATACGAAGCTCTAGATAACATCATCCAAACCGCCGTGCCTGGCCTTACCTCTAATACTCGGAAGTCTCAGGCTTTAGGTAAGAAAACGACTCTGGCTGGGAAAGAGTCACGGAAGAGCACTGTGGGCGGCGGTATGGACAGTAGGAATAACTCAGGCTCCTATAAATCCTTAGTAGAGCCTAGCGTTTTCAATATGAGCCTCCTCTTGCCACCAACATTGGTTTTTATTCAACGGCTGAAGGCCATTGTGCCTCCCGGCTCTGATCTGGCGGCGAGTGCCCTGACATCTTTCCTTGATAATTTCTTGGTCAACGTTTTCCAGCCCCAGTTAGACGAGACTCTAGGCAAGCTCAGCGACAGTGTTTTAGGCGAAGTTGATTCATTCCAACAAGACTCAGACTGGCGTTTAGTAGCACGGCGACCAGTCTTCAAAGGAACTACTGCATTCTTTGCGGTCGTTACCGCTTTTTGTCGCATGCTTGGCACCATTCCTCATGACCAGGCACTCAGCGCTCTTATTATCTCGCAGATGATGCGCTACTACGAAAGATGCTTTGCGTGGTTCAAGTCCTTAGTGGCGAAGGCCCACGACACAAATACTGCATCACATGACCTCCGATTCTCCGCGAAACTGGCGACTACAGAGGGCGAAATTCAAGAGACGATACAAAAGCTATGGACGTCCGAGGCTCTTGACCGCGAGCTAATAGAAAAGGAAGTCGGATTGCTGATCATGCGTACCAACGAATTCCCCCTCGAGCCTAGTGACGTTATACAAGATCGAGATGTGATCTCGTCGTTGTGTCTCTTATACACAAGTATGAAGTGGCTTTCTACCAAGATTGTTGGCTTGCGGCATATCACTCGACACGACACGGATTCTTCACAACCTACAATGCCAAAGGATCAAAATCGACGGTGGACTCTGTTGAACGATCCCAGCAAGGCTAATGGGGAGCATGAAGGTCCTGTATATCTACCCATGACACAGGATACTGTCCAGTAAGCAACACCATTTCTACCCCCATGTATGAGATTATTATAACTGACTCGTTTGTAAAGATCATTTGACAGAATCGTATCTTCATATGAAGAGCTGGCGGGCACTGTCCTTCTTACTCTTCACATGGAGATCCGCTGCCGTATCATTCAATCATTGCGTGTGGCTTTATCACCAAAGACCGCGCCTTATGTCCTTGGCGATCGCGAGATTAAAGAACCTGATCCACAGATTTTATCTTTAAATGCTGAGCTGATTGCCTATGATGAAACGGCTGTCCGCTTCCTCCGCGATCGAGAGATCGCTTTCGTACGGACCGGCCTCGCTCTACTCATTAACACGTATCTCGTATCCAACGCGCTGTCTACGCAGCCTATGAATTTGCGCGGTTGCGAGCGCATGCAGCTAAACATTCTTGTGCTTCAACAGAACCTCAAGAACATCGAGGCGGACGTAGACCTAGCTAGGGCTAGCAAGTATTACGGACTGTTTGCAGAAGGCGTCGACGCGATCGTGGAGAAAGCCAAGCTAGATAAGGAGCGAGAGGCGGCCGAGGGCTCTATCCCCGAGGCAGAAAAGTTTAGTTATGACGAGCTCAAGGCACTTGTCGAGTTGTGTTATAGTGTACAACTTGCAGATCCCGAGAGAGGCGTCAACGCGGCCGCGAAGAGGCAGATGGGAGAGAAGGTTTTGACCCTCAGCGAGTATATGTGGCAGACATAGAGCTACAAAGTAGAGTATGTGATAATGATCCTATTTTCCTGGAGCATTAACTATAGATATACATATATCCTCCTGAATGATTCTAATTGCACGTGTTGAAGAAAGGAAACACAAATGACTGGTCTCTGTCTGCACTGTCTACCATTCATGGCCATGGAGCATAATATCTTACTGGAGCCGGTACGATAATCATACAAAAGCCGGTCAGTTCCGCGTGGCGCTTCTAGTACCGTCTACCTTGAGCCACCTCGAGTCTAGCTCTGCTATGTGCTTATGTATCTACCTGCAGGCTGCCCGTTCCCCGTATTCCTGACTCCAATACTATCTGAACCTTGTCCCTCTCCTCATGACTAAGGAGCCGATTGGTGGCTAATATTCATGTGTCGATTCAAATTGACAGGACAGTTGGCAAGAATGTCACGAGGTGGGTGGGTGTCAGTGCGCATGCGCCATGCAGACAAGACTTCCGCCATAGGTGTTGCCGGGATCCCCCTTCGAAGTCAATGGGAGCTAGACGTGTCTGTATACATAGCGCATGATTTGCATAGTAGATCGTGTTATTGGGTCTTTCCCGTACAACCCTACCTGGTTGTTGGGGATTGCGGCTGACGAGAGCTATAGAAAAACGAGCGAGGGAACATACGATATCAGGAACCGGAATTCATCGTCAAGCTAGAAAAGACCTCATCATCATCAACGTATCGCATTACCCATAGAATGATTCTCTATTTCCTCTCGATGAGAGTAAGTGGTTGGTATAAAATGTAATTTTATTGCTGTCATGATTAAAAGTACCATCGTATGTCCACCCGTATAACAATTTAACGGATGATCCATATGAACGTTGGGTTGCCGGTATATTGAACACTTGACCAAATTTCAATAGTCTAAAAACCTGTCCCGTACTGGTGGTATATTAAAGCATTCAACGAACTACACTAAATACTATTCCCGAAACTAGGCTGGCGGAAACGGACGCTAGGAGAAAGAATAGTGAGAAAGAAATAACATTCAAAATTGTAAATCTAAGAGTAGATTAAATGACAAGAGTGGAACTTACCCACGTTGATTACTCGATGAGGAAACTGTGCTAAGATTGATACCCCAACCTCACGCCATAACCAACTCGGCTATCTTGCCTAACTATTGTTGGAGGGGATGTTTTCGTCGTAAGGTTGGCAGATGAGGCAGACGGGAGAAGGCCGTGAGGACTGGAGTGTGGTTATAGCCCACGAACCTGAGGCGTGGCTGTAGAGCTGATAATATCGCGTAGATTGCATGTGTGTCATATCTGGAAGGGCTAGATTTGATACAGGGCCAATAGACGCAGCTCAGAATACATAAAGGCGAGTCTGCCAGATAGGCGTGCAGCATATGGGGTAACTGCAAGATTAATATTCGCCTGTAAGTTAGATGGATGGTCTAGATAGTGCTGACAGCAGTAGGTAGATTTGAAGACCCGACTGGAAAACACTTTATATTGAATATTGGAACGTATCCAATGATGGTTCCGAGTTGGACAGATGCAGCTGCATTACGTGCACATGACCCGGCAGGACAGTATCTATCTCACCTACACGATCGACACTAGAGAGGAAACTTGCCTATGCATGAGGGTAACACGGTGGTTAGATGCGGCTGACTACCCGGCATATTGCTTGACGGTGATATATTCAGGTAGGACAATATATGCACGATACCCGCCGTAGCTGCATCTATGGCTTTAGGTTTAGGTAGAGCCAGGCAGGGAAGAGACTTGTCACGGGTGCCGTGGTGTTGGTGATCATGCGGGGTATCACGTGATTGCTTATAGAGATATGTGCATCGACTGAGCAAGCTATGGTCTATAAAACAAATAGCCTGTCACTTCCACGAGCTCAAACCGTAATCTTCGTATCTATCGTATAAATGCCTGTTGGGAAAGAGAGAGAGAGAGAGAGAGAGAGCACATATGAGATGATGTCGGTTAATAATTGGCCGAGATCTTTCAGCGATAGGTATGCAGGCATATCTATGTATTACACTACATAGCTAGCTGCACACGTCTCGATTACTCGGGTCCATTTGGTGGCTCGTGGACCAACACGAACGACGGCTGCTTTGTTTCCTGGAAGATACGATAACCCGGGTCAACGGGCGAGGGGAGAGTGAGAGGTGCGCAACAGAGAGTTGGAGACTGACGTATTGGAAACGACATGATGCGAGAGGCGAACCGTACGTAACATAGGTGACGTTGGGCGGGACAAGGGTCTCGGGGCGCATGACGATAGGCATTGAGAATATGCCGTACGACCTATCAACATAGAGCTTTCGTCGTCGATCACTTTCTCATTTCTCCCACCTCCCGTTCTTTTCATTTTCGTAAGTTACCTCATTGATATACAGTAGGTAGATAGTAGGTGGCAGATAGGAAAGCAGGATTGGACTGCATGTCAAACTGCACGCACAGAGAAGCAGACAGGCAGATGCGCCATAAGTAAGCTTAAGCAAATTATTCTAGGGTATCTAACCTGGGATTCGATTCTAGATGTGGCAGTTGAAACCTGAAAGGGTACTACACTTGATTATTATTTCATTCCATGGGATAATAATAGACAGTACGTACACGATATATCGGTGCAACCGCAACCGATGGCACGATCTGTCAGGGTCAATACAGCAGAGAGTATACTATTTTGACTCTTGACGGGGCGCAGCGGTGCAGATGGATGTTGTTACTCAGTAGGATTGGCGTGACGCCGCAAGACGACCTCGAAGACATGGGATGGTCTGATGATTGTTTTATGGCGCTGGTACAGGTGCGACGGAGTTTAGCATCCGGCGGCATACAGCGTACATACATACTATGTACAGTAGGTACATAATGTACGCTCCAGCATCGATTAGGTACAATCCGGGTAGGCATGTACAAGTCGGCATGTGCCCCGATCTCCAGGGACGTGGTTGGTCGCACGGCATATGCGCAGCGGCGCCCAATTTCGGGCTGGCTTGCTTGTTTATTGTGGCCGTTTCAAGTTGGAAGCCACTGAGCAGGGGGAATGTTAGTGCAGCGTGAGGTTAAATTCATTAAATGTCATCCACTTCTAGTTAGCGCTACAACAACGCGCCCACTATTCGTCGGCGGTAGGGCGGTACAACAGGTGGTAGGGGGAAATTGGGTTGTTGATTAGGCTAGAGCTTTGGTTTACTCCCTAAAAATCTTTGCCATCTACCCCCTAGAACAGCCCAACTGCATCCCAAATAGTCCCTAATCTGTGTGGGATCGATCGGTGGTTGGTCAGATACCTACCCCAGCGGATGCTTGACCCTGACTAGGTAAGTACCTAGGGTATTAGGTACTATACCAAGCCCGTCGTCTACAGTAGGCACTTGCTCCTTATATGTACAGCACATAAGCATGCACCTGCTCCCCAAACATGGCAAGCCACCTACCTACTTAGGTACCTAGACTAGTGGCGAGAGCTCACAGTGACAGCCAACCAACTGATAATCTTAAGAACTCTTCCTGCCTCTCTTCTCGCCAGTCTTATTATTCGTGATTAATGACAATTCATGATTGAGAGGCTTCATATCGCCCCTGGCAGCTCTGGTTCTACTTGTACATCGCCTGCACCTGCACCCCTCCGCCTGCCCCTTCATTCGCTTTTTCCATTCGTTTTTATTCAGTTCTCTTTTACTCCGGCAGTCTAGTCTACACTGGGATTGCTGTCCCCATCCTCCCGTGCACCCCTGTCAGTCGCCTCCTGAGAAACAAGGGCAGAAGGGCAGAAAAGGGTGTCATTGCAGCGCAATCGAATTCCGACAAGACCTCTCTGGTTCACCAATCACCCGCAAGAAACGGCCATTTCATTCGCGCCCTCGCACTTCCCAAGACTCTCGTCTCTGACCTCCTGATCGAGTTCAACCACCGACCGACCCGCGCAAACTGAACTGAGCGAGCAATGTCACGACAAAGACTGTAACATCGCCATACAAACATCTATTCCACGCCTATTATACTCGGCATTTGCATTTCGGAATACCCGTTAGGCATCCTGCACCACCGAGAAGGACAACACCACGGCCTCCTCCGCGATTCCTCTCTTCGATATCGCCCTCAAATTCTCAACTCCGTGTCCTCCGACACAAACAAGCCGCCGCTCATCGTGCATCTACCCAGGTAGATTCGACAGCGCAGACGCGTCACGCTCCTTTAGCTATTGGTTTCAGTGTTCCCTGTCGTCATACCAACAGTTCGCGCACATTCTGGCCTACGTCCTTTGTGATACACTAGGACATTAATTGCCAGTAATCAGTATTTGTCCAAATTTCTAAACCTCCACTTGCCCACCGCATAAAGGAATCAAGTTAGCTAGGAGCCACATCGACAATATGGCGTAAGTCCCCCATGGTAGCTAACGACTTGGATCGGAATTGACGACTCGTTCTTAGCAATCTGGGGTCAGCTTTCCGTTCGTTTTGGCATACTATGACCAGTTATGACCGACGTAGGTACCCATGTTGAAAAGGAGAAGAAGAGAAAGGTCGTGGACAAGGTTGCTAAATTCATATGCAGACTCGAACTATGATTCCCCTCATCGGACCGGCCGCCACGTGCCTCTGAACCGCCAAAGCACATTAACATCGGTTGCTACCGCCTCGGAATCTCGCGCTGATATCACCTCTCCATATCAAGATGAGCTGGGTCGGTTATCTAATCAGGCAGATAGAACTGCATACATGGGTGCCGGCATGCCCTCTATATCCCCACTCTCACCCGGCTCCAACGGTCCTTACTCGCCCGGCTTGAGATCGTTAAATGCCCGGAGGGAGAGCTCAAGAGATGATGGGTTCGAAACCGTGAGCAGTCCTGGCGATATTCAAATGCAATCATTTGCCGATGGCGCTCCCCCAGCACCACCCGTTAGTCACTCCTGGAAGCGCATAGATCGATGGGCTGAAGAAAATTATCCCGAGCTTTTCGACCAGCTTTGTGAAGGCTGCACAGATAATGATTTGACTGAGCTTGAGCACCAGCTCGACTGCTCATTGCCCCAGGACCTAAGAGACTCCCTCATAGTCCACGACGGCCAGGAGCGTGGGGGTAACCCCACTGGGATAATTTTCTCCTCTATGCTTCTCGACTGTGAAGAGATAGTGCAAGAGTGGGATCAATGGCGACGGGTGAATCAACAGTATCTCCTCGAGACTTCAGTTGCAAAACCTGCACCTCCCACTAAGGCGTTTGGTGGCAGCAGCGAAGCGTCCTCTTCTCGATCAGCGCCGGGCTCTCCGGGCTCCCAGAAGGGCTCTTGGCGGCAAGATCTCCAATCCCGACAGGACTCGGTTCCTGCCGGCGCCATCCAGCGAGCCTATGCGCATCCGGCTTGGATTCCTCTCGTACGAGATTGGGGTGGAAACAACCTAGCTGTTGACCTTGCACCTGGTCCAACTGGTATTTGGGGACAAATTATTTTATTTGGGCGAGATTACGATACCAAGTACGTCGTAGCCAGGTCGTGGGGCGCTTTCCTCGCCATTCTCGCCGATGACTTGAACAGTGGCAAATGGTTTGTCGACGAAGATACCAACGATCTCAAATTGCGCGAGTTTAAGACCACTCGCGTTGAACCCTCGTACTTTGATATTCTGCGCTGGCGAATGGACCAGAAGCATGGGCGCACTGCGAAGGCTGCGGCAAAGCGCAAGTCTGGTGTGCCAGGAAGTGCCGCATCTCCTGGTGGCTCACCTTACGCCAGCCCCGTCGACGCCAATGGCGATGTTCGTGGAAGATCATTACAGCGACTCAGCAATCCATCACCTCTAGTGAGCCCTGCCCGGGTTGGCTTCGGGAAATCGAGCGCACTTGCGCGAGTTGCGGAAGAATCAGGAAATCCCGAACCGAAACTTGTTACCAATGGCATCAAAGAGGACAAGCTTGTCGAAGTTGAAACCCCCAAAGCACAAGACGATGCCACGTCGACTATCAAGCAAGATATCGTGCCCGTCGCTAACGGCACAGATCCTTCGACGTCGAAAACGGAGACGGATTTAATAAATGGCAACGTAGACGACATCGAAGGAGGGATGAAAACCATAGAGATCTGACGAGAGAGTTCTACGACGAAAAGCAATGATAGCTTATGTTCCACGACCAAACATATCCAGTAAAGGGCGGCGTTCGGGGCGTCGGATTTAGCAAACGTTCATGAGCATCGTCTTGAGAGCGCTTCAGAGTTTTCTCTCATCCCTTCTATGACACCATTGGCGTTCCCACGCGCCGCATATTCCCACAATGTTTGGGATTCTTTGGGCACTTGGACATGTACCATTTCGGCTTGAGGAACCCCACCCCGAAATACGAATGCAACTTCAAGATCACTAGCAGGGACCCCAAGGCCATGGTGTTTTTTTCGATTCTTGTACAACCGTATTCGTCTAATTTGCTTCATGAAGCTCGGCCACCTGTCGACACGTTAAGAAATCGTTTCAGTTTCGTGCTAAAGAGCGACGCATTGAAATAGCGATGCTGTACGGGGAAGCGCCCCAGGCGACCTGTACAAAGAGAGAGGCGTTATTATGGTTCTTCGCGTTTTGCGATCATCGGGTGGGTTAATAGATCTGGCGAGCAGCTCTGGTCGTCACCGGGGCTCACATTAGTAGGCGTCGGAGGTAGCAATATCTATACAGGTTCTTCTTGAGAGAGACGGCTACCATGTAGCATAGCGACATGCAATGTCGATGGGAGTACCATTGGCGGGGCACGTAATTGGATTGCACGAGTTCGTAAAGATATAATGCAATAGCCATCCAATGAGTTAAATTGTGATTAAATGTAGTGATTAATGTGACGCTCCTATTTAAGTTCCAAGTCTTGACACGATTTATACTAATCGCTATCCCAAGGGCGACCTCGCTTTGACTCCTAAAACGGAGATAAAAGCTGTATCACGTGATCGTGGCTCTGTAAGTATGTACCATCTACCGGGTAGGCTTGCTAAATGATGGCCATGCAGGGTTCAGTTGCCAAAGCTAAAGCGTCATCCGCCTCAGACTGGATCCACTGTAACGCACCCTTACTATTCACATTATCGAGAGCTAAGGTACAGCAACACCACACCAGCTACCTCCGCTTAGCTATCTCAACCCTGAGGTCGCCATCCATCCTATTTGGCTGCAGGTCCCCTCTAACGACATCCCATCCCGACATTCCGAAGCGAAGCCCGAGCGCCATGGAGGAGGACCGTCTCTGGAAGTTTAGCAAGCCAGCCTGGCTTAACAGCGCCTGGGCGCGAAACGCCGGCGTCTACGCAGCTGGTGCTCTGGTGCGTTCTCCCTCCCCCGGACCCGAGTCGCCGTCGCGGCATCTGCGTCGACATCCATCCTCCCATCCCTCCCTCCCCCTCCGTGCTTAACGGGACTCCGTAACCGTGGCTAACTCGCGCGCGTGGGGTGCGAACAGTTCTCGCTCGCCTTCTACGTGCTCATCGACGCGGCCGTGTGGTCGAAATCGCCGCTCAACATGTCGGACGTGCACGTGACGTTCATCGACTGGCTGCCGTTCATCTTCAGCTCGCTGGGGATGCTGATCATCAACTCGGTGGAGAAGGCGCGGCTGTCGGCCGACTCGTTCAGCTACTCGGGGTCGGGGGTCGCGTGGAAGGCGCGCGTCGTGCTGTTCCTCGGGTTCGCGGCCCTCGCGGGCGGCATGGCGGGCGGCGTCGTCGTCTTCGTCCTCAAGTTCGCCGTCCAGCAGGTCGCCTGGCCCATGATGGGCATGGGCGTCGAGAACATCGTCGCCAACGGCCTCGTCGGCCTCTCCTCCGTCGTCCTGTGGGTTAGCCAGAACATGGAGGACGAATACAGCTACAACCTAGCTCTGTAAGAGGGAGGGGGAGATGGTTCGGTATTGGTGGGTTTCGTCTGTACAGCTATGCGAGCGCTTGTGGGTTTTGCTGCGAGGGGATGGTACGATACATATTTTGCATGCGGGATGCCTGGAATCGCGAAGTCTAGCACTAGTTATGTAGGTAATAAGATTGCTCTTGCGGAAGCCATGTTTCCCTTGGAGAATGGGGTGGATACCATTATACATTGTCGCGTACTGCTGCGAAGGTCAGTTATGTTAACCAGTTACAATTCTTGTATTCGCCCACTCTAGACACTGAAATCACACACCCAAGTGAATCAAGGTTAGTTGAGTACTGGTGCGTTTTCTAGCTATTCGAATCCGGTGCAGCCTGACTGATGTTTACCTACCTCGTTGCTGCTGATGTTCCAATGTTCCACGTAGATCATTCATCTATCACGTCTCATCGGCTATATAACCAACGGTCTTGGGCACCATGTTTGACATGCCTAGTCTTCTTGCAAGAGAGAGTCTTGTTATTTAGGCGATATGTTATGCTTAACTAGGTAACTTAAGCTTGAATATCTTAAGAAGTTTCTCTACTACCTAATTAACTCCTCAGTTACTAGACTCCAGGCTATTTAAACCCCACGGCGCATGTGTTTAATCTCCTAGGTTAGATGGGTCAAATAAAAAGAAGCCGAAAAAAAGAACAAAGCTTTTGTGTACCAGGTGAGGATTTGAACTCACAACTCTTGCATTTCTGGCAGTCATTCCTGGTATACAGGCTTCTTGATGGAGAGCAATAGGCCATCCATCCATTGCCTCTGTAACATCACACTTGATGCGGCAGATTGTGGCATATGTCAACCTTGTCTCAATAAAATCGAGATCGGGGTTTGAGACCTGCGTAGGATTAGTGAGACAAAATAGGCACTCGGCCATGATTTACACCATCAATACAATATCTACTACATTTTCTCCGGAGCGAACCCATCCAACCCGCAGAATACCTAAGCTTCAACCAGGGGCACCCTACCGCGCAATCTACGCATCCGACTCATAAGCCTAAACTAAAGCACCTTTGCAGCCACGGCCTCGCAACTACGCCGTAAGTTATGTTGATTAAACTCACGCTTCCGAGTACTAATACTATTTAAGCCAGTTCAGGAGCAATGAGAGGTGGATCGAGGGGCTGCGAGGCCGCTTGCCTGTGGCGGAAGCGGCTGCAGCATAAGAATTACCTGCCCATCTAAGAGGCGGCTGACACGGCCACATGGCGAGGACGAAGTGACAGCTGCCTATATAACCAAGAGATCCAATATCCACGACTTCCTATTGTCGGTCCTTCTCGAAGTGGGCAGGTACACCTATAGGCGGTACTACGTTTTTGAACAGGCTGGAGCTAAACTGTTGTTTAAATCACCCTGTCTAAAATTGTGGTATACTGGTATATGTATTATAGTATACCTACTGCTGGTAGGAGTGTAATATATAGCTTGTTCCTGCGGTACAGCCAAAGTTGCTGTAATATCTACACTATCATTGCTTTTTGGAATTACGCAATTCGAGCCACATTGTTTTTACGTTGCTGCCACAGCGTATTATTTTCTAATAGCATTTGAAATCCAGTTGGAACCCTATGCTTTAAAAATATTGGAACAGAAGTTTTTTGGCCGAGCAATGTTCTAGGTAGAATAAGCACAACGTACGAGGACAGCAACAGCGCCGATATCTCTACCGGCAGCGTGCCCAAACGCTAGGTCTCTTCGGGTAGGTAAGTAGGAGCGAGAAGAGACTTCCCAGGTAAGAGTAACTCTGATAGCAAGGTCACGGCCAACACCTATATACTTATCTCCCCTCTTCTTCTTCCTTCTCTTTATTCCTACTAACTGCTGCTGTTACTACTATTACTACTACTGCCCTTACTACTGTTGTGACAAGGGGTTATATTCAACCTAATAATGTATATTTATCTTTTCAATATCAATGTGCCTTCAGCCCTTTTATAAATAGTATACACTTAACGAGATCTTTCGGATCCGACGAAGTCGATCGGTGTCCTATTAGAGTCAATCCAAACAGGCTTATGGGTACGCGCAGACTGACTTAAAAATTGGTCAAATGAATCACTAGGAATAGAATCGTCCAACCACTGTTATGGAAACCCGTCGTGCCCAAGGCTTTCCTGATCACGAAGTTCTTGTTGGCAGCAGTTGTGGCCCGTGCCGTTGGCCTCTACCTTTCTCCAGCTGCCTCCGATCGACGCCCTTTTGTAAGTCCGTAGGGTAGGCATGCATGAAAGTCAAGCCGTATCCGTTAACCCCGCTCTCTACTAGGCTTGGGCTCGGCGCTGTATGTTTGTTGGGCTAACCCCTTACGAGGGCTGCCAGACACTTAGAAGAGTGAAGCCTTTTGTCAACACTATCTGAACGGAGTGCAGTAGAATGGACTGATTTGTCTTTGTGTGATGATGTCATTCTATGCTCCCACTGTAATTAGCATTGGCAAGTATTCAAGGGTGGACCCCCTGGTAGAAAGCCTCTAGCCAAAAAGTTTGATTGGGTCCACCCTTCAATAAAGGTGGAGCACGCGGAACCCCGCGGTTGGGCTCCACTGCTCTGCCACCACCACAATGACTCTAACATATAAAACCAATTAACAAGCCAACTTTACGAACAAGCACCTGTGATGTAGTGGTTTAGCATGTCTGTCTTATAGTCTAACCGTTTTCGGTTACGCCTATGATAGTTATCAGAATGTCGTGAGTTCAATCCTCACCAGGTGCATTTTTTTTTTAAATCGTGTCATTTCATGTTTTCCCTAGTGGTCATTTTTCCCCCTCCCTTGAGTGCTGCTTTTGTTATGTATTGTTTTCCTCGTCTACAGAGTATCCTACTCCCAATATGTACATAAATGTGAGCCCAGCGAGGAGCTTTGCCTCTGTAAAGGACACCAATCATGACGCCTACATTATCTACGTACTTCATTTATACCAGGGTGCATCTTGACCTAGCTACTCACAAGACTCATCGGACGCATTTTTGCACATATCATTTAGATTCAGTGATTCTATGTCGCTTACGAAGACCCGTGAACCCATCTCGATATGCAACGATTCCGACCGAAAACGTCTCCGGCGATATTCTAGTCTAGGTGCATAGCAACTTATTAGCGTTATAGCACCGGGGTATGAAATACCTTCCCGTGCGAATCCCTGAGTTGCCGTTAGATGCAAGGAACCACGTCATGTAACTAGTCGACTAATCAAAGCCTTGGATTTCCTTCATTTTTTTCTGAATGCGACCAATTGAACAAACTTCAACGTTGGTTACAGGTACTAAGGCTAGATAGGCTGAGCAGACGCTGGATACCTCTGCTGTCCGCAATAAGCCCTCTCATCATCTTCTTTTATATTAGAGCACTTCGTATTAAATGATCCTCTCTCGGAAAACCTGAAGGTGTAACAGCCAACATCATAAGAATGGATATACCGGGCATGTTCTTACTTGCTGAATCCATATTCCCCGGTCTCGACAATATTGCAAACGGATTAGTTGTATACCGAAAGCGAATATAAGGCCGTGTTCTAGAATAACTTCCATTCATGATTATACAGTAGAGAGCGTAAGATCATTTATTCATATGAACGTAGTAGCTTCTTTTGCGCTCAACTTGGTTTCTTCCTTAGCGAGAAGTTTCTAAGCATGTTACTCCTCCCTACTACATTTCCCAACTGGGGATGATATAGTATCCGCTAATCGCATCTTTAGATAATCATGAAGCTGGTTGCTAAAGGAGCCTGGAAACAAGAGTTAGTATATTGAATATTGAATCTTACTAGGAGATCCTATACTGACTGAACTAGAGCATATGAAGAGATCCGTATCCCCTTATACTAACTGGGAGCGGTTATCAAAAACGATTCGATAATTAGCGTTTACTTGTTTATAGCGCAAGCCTAGTGACCTAGCGTACCGACTTCCTGTCCTCGTCTCCTTTTCTTATTTCAATATTGGTTTATTTTATATTTCGTCGCATTGACTATGCTAAACCTCTAAGGAAATCGTACAATTATTTCTAACCTAAACGTGTTTGGTTACTCTAGCTATACTGGTCGGAGTGTAGATATCGTGGAGAAGTACCGAGGCGCTGGGGGCCTGTGGAGCTAAAGCTACTGTAAGTGTCTTACATCAAAAGGTACCTAGAGCTCAGTGCTAGGTGAGAAATAGAAGAGTGGCTATTTCACTTGGAGAAAAGTCTCTTCCCCAGTGTATATTTCTGCTAGCAGGGCTACGAAAAGAAAAGAATAAAAATATAGGTATAAACGCGACATGAATTAAGTAGCATCTTGTAATTAGACCACCTTTTCCCGCTACTTACGCAGCAGCATCTACCGCATGTCAGCTCCGCAGAACCGGGTTTGACTGGGTAGGTACTTAGCCCTATGTAGTTAGAGGTACCTATGTAGGTAAGTAGGGTGGGAGCTACACAGGTATGTATAGAAGGAGGTATCTCGCAACTACCTCCCTCGAAGCAGGGGTGTCTGCTACCCGGCTAATCGGTCATTCTGAGGAAACATCTCAAACATCAGGCCTGAATTGGTTCATGCGTTGAGGGCGACCACAAAGACTCGGTGATGCCCGTCCGATACTGCCGATAGCCTTTTCCTTGCATGTATTTCGACAACCGCCAAAGATGAGATGAGATGTCTACATAGCCGCAATGGATTTTGTCAGTCAAAGAGAGCCTTCTATTTCCCTATTCGATATCACCCGTGACGCTATACTGACGGAATGCATCTGCTGCTCTAGTGGTCGCGCCTCATCGCAAACACGCCGTTGTCCTCCAAGAACTCTGCCAAGGACGCTGCAAGGGATCCCATCAAACGTCGCCAGCGCTTTGAGAAGGAATATGGCCAGCTGCTGGTACGAGTGTCGTTGCCATTCCCGCCGCCTTCTCTCTCCTCTACTAACCTATGCATCCCTCGTCTTAGCACATTTGGCGCAACTGTTCCAACCTCGCCCGCGATGTCGATGCCGCCGAGATCCTCGAGATCCGTCTTCAAGAACTGACCAACATCCTTGCCGAGGAATCCCGCCGACCGTTACCGCACCCTTGTATTTCTTTCGCCGCCACAAAGCAGATCTACATCCCAATCGCCAAAATCGCCACCACTTCATACAACGAATGGATCATTAAGGAGGCTGTGCTGTTCTTCGCTAGCCTTATCGAAAGCGAAGAAGAGTCCTTCGTCGAGAACGATGCCTTCTCCGCGAGCTTGACCAACCTGCTTGTCCGTATCACCGGCGCCAACAGCATTCGTCTGGGCTTAGACACTGAAGTCAAAGTTGTTGAGCTGGCCTTCAACATCACTACCAAGATCCGGCTTGAGCCTGAGATCTTACCCGCGTGGTTCAAGGTTCACGCCGATGCTGGGGCGCAAGATGGCAAGTTCAAGGACGACCGGGAGAAGTTCGCCGGCAAGACGCAGAAGCAAGACTTCCCGCTCTTTTATCTTCTGATGGACTACATCCATCATGAGGGCAGGGTGGGCGATTTTGCTCGCACCGGACTCCTATATATCATCGAAGCGGCATCTAACTCGATAGAGCTGGAGCAGTGGATTGTCGAAAGCGACCTTTCCACACTCATGGCAACCGGCCTTGGAGCCTTGTATAGCCAACTCAGCCGGAAGCTTGTCATCGATCACCCTCCTCAGGGCCTGCCACCTGTTTTAGCTTTCTCCGACTACGAGCATCCGACCGCAACGTTCGAGATCGTCAGTTCATGCAGTCCCGACTATCAGCTACATATGGACACATTCCTGTCCCACCTTCTATTCTGGCAGGATGTGCTCAATCATTGCCGATCTGTTGAGGTCAAATCTACCCTCCTCGAGCACTTTCAGATCATATTCCTGCAGCAGCTACTGTAAGCTACCCGGCTTCGCATTCATGAGGAAACACTAACACTCTTAGATATCCGTCGCTTTTAGAGTCCTCCGATGCGGACGGAGGATCATCGGTGGCCGTTCTCACCTACTTGCGCCGCATCTTAGAATCGCTAGATCATCCCGATATGATCAATTTAATTCTTCATTACTTACTTGCTCTTCCGGACACAGAGACATCCTTGCGAAGCTTTTCCGAGCCTGCTGTAAGCGCTGCCAGAAAACGCAAGTCCATGGATCTGGCGAGTATGATGGCATCGAAGATGGAGTCGAGTTACTCGCCCCTGCTATTCAATTTGGTCGATTTAATCCATTCGTGCCTCAAATCGGAAAACAGCCAGACAGTATGCGTCACGATGCAGCTAGTGGCGACAATCCTTAAGCGGCATCATCGCTACGCTATCGTGACACTGCTTCACACTGAAAGTGTTGATCCCAACATTTCCCACAGAACAATGGGTGCTCACCAACAAGAAGTCGATTTCCTCATGACCCTAGCTAGCACAGTAGGCGGCCAAGACAATTTCGACGAAGTTTACGATAATATCTTGAAAGATACCATGACTCGGGTCGAGGGCCACCCGTGTTCACTAAAGCTTGTGGCTCCAAAAGTGTCAACCCACAATCATAAACTCCCTGCCATACCTGATAGTCTACCTGGGGCGCCTCGAGATGTACCACCACATACGTTGAGCCCCGAAGATCCCCTCTTACATAATTTACTTGACATTCTGGAGCAATTTTTTATCAACCCCGTGGAAGTAAATCTTTCGGCTACCGAAACCATGTTGGATCTAGCTGTCTGCGGATATATTTCCATGGAGGGTTGGCTTCTACGTCACCCCAGGACATATGTGTTTGAAGAGGATCCAGATGAACCCACTTCTCCCCTTCCAGACCCGGCTTCTAAAGCGTTCAAAGAACTTGAGAAACTACAATCAATTAGTAGATGTCGCCGCAGACCAAAATGGCAATCTTCAAATTTGCCTCGAATCCTAGGAGTCCTAGAAACCCTGGCCGACCAAATTGTGGCCTTTCGAGAGTCAATTCCAAGATTTGACGAGCTAATGCAACAGCGACGCGAGGCCTTCCAAACAGCAGATGCCATCGTGCCCAATCAGCAACCCCCACAGGCCAGTTCTGCTACAGGAGCCGCAACTATGGATACTTCGAGTCATGGGGGGTCCCGATCAGCGTCACCCGCAAGACCTAGTGCGCTTGGTGGGTTTCAAAGGATATTGTCCGAATTGAGTACTCCAAGTCGATCTGGGAGCCCTCGTGGACGAAAGGAAGTCATGCGTAGCTCGGGCACCGGATCCGCGAAATCTGGAGGCCACCGGGCTACAACACCAACCTCCAACCCCATTCCTGTCCCACCGAAGGAGTTTCCATTAAATTATGAAAGCCCTAGTAAAAGTGGGCTATCCAGATCATTTTCACCTAATAGCCACGACGACTCCGGCCCAGTTAGTAGTGGCAACCCTGTGACAAGCCAAGTTGCTGCCTTTGCGGCCGTCGACCAGGGAATTCTCGCCAAACGAGTTGGCCTGCCCAAGTTGACGGTGGAGCCAATACCCCTTGACTTTAGCCGGAACGAACCAAGCAGAAACGAACGTCTGGAACACGACGAGAATAAGGAAATCGAGGATGAAATCGATCCCACCGAGGTCCAGGTTGCTGCCGATGAGGACGAAATTGAGGAGAATCCTGAACTGCAGACGTCCCCTGTGGAGAAGCAAGCCTCCGTATCACACATTATTACAAATGTTATCGTTTATCAGTCCTTCCTTCTCGAACTTACGAGCTTGATACAGGTACGAGCTGGGCTATTCAATG